TGCCACTCTGTATTGTCAGCTTTGTTCTACTTCTCCTTCATTTAAAATGGATTACAAGCAAAACTCGTCTTCTCCAGCTGGATAGTTTTACAGATTTTGTGCTTTGGAGAAGAGACTCCTATAACCAGGACAAAATTCATGCATGCAGGGAAAAAACCCCCACATGATTCTGTGCTAAGGAAATTAGAGGGAGGAATTCCTAGGGGTACTTTTTCCACACTCACCCCACTGACATGAAAGGGAGGCAGCACAAGCTCAGATCCTGCTCCAGAATCATAAGAAACCGTTTTTGGGCTCCAAACTAATACTGAAATGTGCATGTTTTATGAATCTGGACATTTTAAAATAATAATTTGCTTTTTTAATACAACCCAGATTAAGAGTCTATGTGAATTATGTGTTCTTTTCTCTTGCAATCAAACTTTGCACATCTATATAAAGATGACATGCACCACCCACAGCTTTTACACTAATTGCTATGCAAATTAATTCACTACGTGAAAGTTTGCTGTAGCCTTCCCCACCGAGAGAGGAGTATGTGGAGGACTCTCACAGCACACATAAAGTCCACCTGCACCCCAATGTGCCTCCACACCCCAACACTGTGCTCCATGTTTCACAACACACCACCAGGCACCAGGCAGCCTGAGAGCTTTCAGCTGAACCATCCAGGGACCCTCCAGACGTTTTCCTTGCCAGGCTGATGCCAGAAATATGAGAGAGTTAGACGGGTTGGTTTGCCTGGCGCTTGGATAGGTAGCTGTTGCCCACTGAGAGGCAAGCATGGAGGGGGACGAAGAATGTTTGGGGGCCATGAGCTCTTCTGCTCTAATCCTCCTTGCTGATCACTGACCACACAGCGCAGTTTCCACAACCTCCACACTTTCTGATGTGTGCAGTGGGCCAGTATAAGTGATAAGGGACATTTGCATAAGGCAGTGGGGTCCAAACTTTTTTCAAAGAGGGCCAGATTTGATGAAGTGAAGGGCCATTGAGGGCCGACCAAGGGCCGACCAAAGTTTTTTTAGGATTGAAGTTGTTGAGCTTTTTTTATGATTTTACCCCAGGATATAAACTGCCACAGGGACTGGATTAAACGGACCGGCGGTCCTGATTAGGCCCCCGAAACGGACTTTGGACATGCCTGCACAGCAGAGGGACGGGCATGTTGTCAGGCAGATACATAAACTCTATTGTGTGGACAGGCGGAGTCCCCCCAACCCCAGGCAACCCCCGAGTGGAATAATGATTCAAGACAACATACTATGGGGTTAAAATTGCCCACAACTTTATTAAGTTTCAGATGTAGGGAGACCTTGGCCCAGGCATTGGGCATTTATTCTTACCAGTCCCCAGCTGGGGATCTGGGATACATCAGGGTTATCCAGAATGTGTGGGGATTGGGCTGGCTCTGGAGAACATATGTTCATCAGAGAGCCCGCCCCCTGTTTCGCCGCCGTCGCAGGGGAGAGCAATGACAACCTCTCGGCATATGGCCAATGCCTCCCCTCAAGACCCCTCTAATGGGGAACCCTGTGATCAACGCCGCAAGGGGGGCGTGGGTCACTGCTTCACGCCCCCCCCCATTTTAGGAATATAGACTAAAAGATTCTGCCCAAGGCCTGAAACCGCCAAAGTTGTGACGTTTTGCTACGGGGAAGGCAAAACATGCCAATGCAGGAAAATCTTTCCCGCCCTTCAACAGCAACTGTGATGTAACAGCGGCCACGTACCTTTGGAGAAGAGGTTAACCTGCAAAAGAAGGCTTAACTGAGGGAGGGCAGGGTGGGAGAAGCTCTGGGGCCAACTGACACTTCGCAGGTTCACCTTCTGTTGTGTGGGCAGGGTGGTCCCTCCCCCTACCTGGCCGTTCCCCTGGCAACGCCTCCCCAGGCGGGATTGGGCGATTGGCTGAGGTAGGCGGAGAGCTCCAGGTGTCCAGCCTGGGGAGGGTGAAGCCAGCCTGTACTGCTGGGAGCTGCACTGGGATCCAGGGGGGGGGGCTGCTGCGTGCGACCATGCAAAAGGCGCCCCCCATTTGATGTGGGGAGCAGTCATTGCTGAATATTGAGGCCTTTTACAGGTAACTGCCCAGATTAGAATTCTGAATACCCACATGGAGCCTTTCTAAATGTGAGGATTCCTCCCCGTTCATTTCAATACAAGGAGGCACCTGTTGCTTTCTAAAAAGGAATACTCTTAAAGTTGTCCTGAAAAGGCTGGTTCAGCTATTAAAAGTACAAGGATGTTAATTATTGTAAATTATTTTCCTGCAAAATATTCAAATAATGTCACAGTGATTATAGGAGAGCTATTACCTGGTTGTTCAGGACAGCATTTTGACATTGTAGTTTTTTCAATACAGTGGTACCTCGGGTTAAGAACTTAATTCGTTCCGGAGGTCCGTTCTTAACCTAAAACTGTTCTTAACCTGAAGCACCACTTTAGCTAATGGGGCCTCACACTGCCACCGCGCAATTTCTGTTCTCATCCTGAAGCAAAGTTCTTAATCTGAGGTACCATTTCTGGGTTAGCGGAGTCTGTAAACTGAAGCATCTGTAACCTGAAGCATCTGTAACCTGAAGCATCTGTAACCTGAAGCATCTGTAACCCGAGGTACCACTGTACTTCATCCTTAAGATGAGAAAAACCACACCATGTTGGGCATCTGTTAAGTTACATGAACATTGTTAGAAAAATGAGGTTCCACCCTGTTCTGAGATATGGCTAAGGATCTGATCAAAGCTACAGGTTAGAAAGTTCTGTTCAAATCCTTGTTTTTCTCCCCATGGGTGTAGCCAAGGGAGGTCAGGAGGGGGCAGCTGCCCCCCAAATCAATACAAATCAGTACAAATATGAGGCTCTGTGCCCCCAACAAAAGCCTGCCCCCTAATATAAAGCCTGGCAATGCCCTTTCCCATGTTTCTCCCTCTTAAATCCTGGAAGGAAAACAGGAAACTAGGATAGAATCAATGCCTTGTATACAGATATACCAGAACATGGTTATAGAATGGACTTTGGTCTGCAAGTAACAGATATTTACTTCTGAATTCTTCTTTATATTCAGATTGCTGTTGTGTCACATAGAAAAGCTATCCTCTCCACCCAGTGGGTGCTGGTGGCAGAGAGCCAATTGTGCAGAGAGAAACAATTGCAAAGTATTTCTCCTGAGTTTTATTCATTGTTGCATACAGTGCCGAACACTAAGGACGAGTCCTAGTGACTGATGTTTTCCCTCTTTTCCCTCTTGCCCTCTCGTATCCCATTCCAACCTCACCCTTTCCCATTCAGACACGAAAACAGAAAAGCTATGTATATAGGTCAGGGTTGTTGGGACTAATTGCAGAGGTTATGGACAAATATATGTTTAATATTCAGAACACAAGTTTCCGTTTTGTACAACAGGAGGGAGTGTTGAATCATGATTTGTATTAGGCACACAAAGTTCAGCTGTGTAATTTATTATTCCAAGGCAGTGAGGGGAATAATGGAAGTGAGAAGGACACACAATCTCCACTCAGAAAAGATTTAATTAAGCTAAAACAAAGACTGAAGATATATGGCAGGGTCTTGTGCATTGAAGTCGTTTCTGGAATACTGGAATCACAAAAAGCAAGCCTTAATAGTCAGATGCTGGACATTACAAAAGAATGCCATAGGAAACCAAACCATTAGATGATGCAGTTTAAAGGCATCAAAAGAAAGATAATTCATTGGTTAAGATGGGCAGATTAAATTTTATAAAATAGAAACTCTGGAATAATATTATTTTTAAATATTAGAAATATGTGAATTGCTGTTTCAGACACTTATTTACACTAGCCATGAAAGTTTTAATCTGGCAGACTTTTAAAAAATTACTTGCGCCAGACTCCAGAAAAAAATGTGCTTTACAGTTTCCTAGTTGGACACAGTGATCTGAGCAAATTCTTTTCCTTGCAACCTATGCAGAATAACCAACCTACCCATTAGTTAAAGTATCCATGCATGTTTACTCAGAAGTAAGTCACACTGCTGTTCAGTGGGACTTATTCACTAGTTAACACATTTAGGACTCAATCCTTTGGGGCCAAAATAGATCATATATGAAATGGGGTGAGGGCATTTAAGAAGCTTATTTTTTTATGATTTGCAGGTTATGTCAATAGCAGCCATGGAGTGTGATCAGGATCAGGCTTGCTTTAATTTGCATTCAATATGAAATTCAGTGGATACCTATGAGTCCTGCTAATATATGATTTGTATGCAATATTCCAGTTGTGAAGATGTGGTATGATAAGAATAGGTCCTCAAACATTTGTAGCTATTTAATACACTGAAATATTGTCACCCCCAAATCATATTGAACTTGCAATGCATCCCTTGTAATGACTTGGCATTTCAATGCCCTGTGGTTTTCTTTTTCCAGTGTTTTGAAAGAGCACTAAGCAACATGATATATTTATTTAAATTAAATAGAGAAGACAGACCCCATCTGCAGAGAAGTCTGTATGCTGTTACCTTTATTTGTCCCAGTTCACTTATAATTCTAATACAAAACTATGGCTTAGGATGAACACATGAGCATGCGGGCTCCCAGAGAGGAGCTCAGGGCCGTTTTATTCCTTCTCTGGTTCTGCTAAGCCATGATTTGCCTTGGTGTGTTATCCCAACCCAGGCTTGTGATTTGGCTCCTTCAGACAAACCATGAACTGTAAAGCAAACTGTGGTTACAGCTTGTGGTTTGTCCAGAGCAAGGCAAACCATGGGCCTGAGTTTGGATGACGTATTAAGCCAAGCCATGGCATATCTCTCAGCCACAGATCAGAGGAAGAGCAAAGTGGTCCCAACGTCCCCTCCAGGATCTCTCAGGATCTCACATTTATGCAAAACCATGGTTTGCCTTAGCTTTACCTGTGAGCCAGGTCTTTGAGAAAATCCCAATTGCATGGTACCTATCTGCAGAACTTTAATTGCAATACTAAGGGTTTGTTGTTCACTTTTATTCCCCCCCCCCCCAGAACCAGAGGCTGGCGAGGTGTCCCCTCCCGTGGGAGCTGGCGTGAACAGCAACAGTTGGACCTTTAAATATGGACCTGGCAACTCCAAGCAGCCTGGTCCCGGTGAGTTGCCAGACAAATTCATTATCCCAGGATCTCCTGCAATCATCTCCATCCGTCAGGATCCGCCCAACAGCCAAACTGACAAAAGTGACTTCATAACCTTTGGCAAGAAGGAGGAGAGCAAGAAAAAGAAGAAAAAGAAGAAGGGGAACAAAGCTCAGGAGAAAAAAGAAAAGGGCAACAGCACCACTGACAACAGTGACCAGTGAGGGGTTTATACTGAACAATCTACTTAGCCAATTTTTGTAATCTTGGAAGATCTCTCCTATGTAGCAACTCCCAACTTCTTCCTACTGTTAGCCAATTTCCTGTATGTGCAAGACTTCAGAAATCCACAGGGAATTCACAATGTCTGTCTAGATTGCTTAACAGTTTTGTCTTGAAAGCTTTATTAAGCCTGGTGTTAACTCTTTTTCTCCACTCTGGCTTGTTTTCAGAATCTAAAAAGCAGACACAAGTTTCTTTTCTCCTACGCTGAAAAGGAGACTCTTCACAATACAGCCAGTGCGAGGTTGGACTCTTTGCATTGTGGTTCCTGTGATCCTGTCCTGATGATACTTACGGGGGGTGGGTGGGGGGTGGGAGGGGGACTTAAACATTTTTGGTATTGTGCACCCTGTATCTGATTGGAAACTTTTGTGTGCTGATTATCAGCTAGGTGATGCAAGATCAGATTAATACGACACAAGAAGCGTTCCAAAACACAAACAAGTGAAGTTCCTTGTGAAATTAATGTGCAATGCTGTGTGGCCTGGGGAACTATCTTAAAATTTGCAATTAGATTTTTCATAATCTACAAGAGCTAGTGTGTAGTATGCTGGAGCTTTTATATATTTTATATACACACTCCAGCAAAAAAAGGAAGACTCACTCAGATAACTCTATACCATGAAGTATATCTTCTTCCAAGCCATTGGCCGTATTGCCACAATAAGGCCTTTTGTTCTCCTAGCAAGGATGTCCCTCAGGGAACGTCTACACAGCAACTGCCCACACTCCTGGCTCAGTGCTCCCGCGATAAAGAGGGAGCATGGGGAACCCCCTCTCTCTCAAAACAACAAACCAACCAACCACCAAACCAACTGAAGAGGAACCTTGAGGAGTGGAGATTCCTTTGTTCACATTTTGTATCCAGCTGTGTAGACAGAACTGGTCCTGCTACCCAGGCCTTGGCATGCATGAACCGCAGGGAGTTGGGTGTCCTTCCGGGGAACATCCAATGCCTTTTGAAACCACTGTGCAGACATGTCCTCGGAGTTTAACAAGGGAAAGGAAGGCTGACATCTCAGGAATGTAACTGACTGTGATGTTTCCTTTATGTCCTTGTTTCCACTCTATTTAACATTCTTTTGCACATAATGTCTCTGAAAAGGTCAGAGTATTTCCATAACACATATGCAAAAGTAAGGACAAAAAAGAAAATCTTATCTATGCTGTTTGTGATTTGATATCTCTATTTATAAAGGGAAAGTAGCTGTAAATGGGGAAGAAATAGGATTCCTTTAACCCAGACTGAAGTAAATTTACAGCCATTAGAAAATATAATTGCTGCTATTGAAGTGCTTTAGAAAAATTTGCCTGAAACATCTGTATTATATCTGCCAATCACAGCTTTATTCTGTCAGGTCACTGGTTTTGGGGGGAGACTGCCTCTTGCATGCATTAAGAAATACAAGATATTCTCTTTCTCTTTTGCATTACTTATTCTGCACTTTGAATACACGACATTTGTAAACAATTTTTTGTCAGAGGAAGCTGAAGCAGACCCTTTCTCACACTAAACAGATCGACTCACCTGCTGGCTCTGTGCAGTGTCTTGGTGTTATTACCTCCCTCATGACTTCCTTGGGCTATAGTTTAATTTCTCTCTGAGTTTATGATTTCCAACCCTACAACTATCACTCATTATGTAAAATTCAAGTACTGTATGTATGCTCTATGCTCTTATAAGTATCCTGAAATATTTATTCTGTGCTTGTGTATGTGAATGTCAATGAAACTATTACCTAGCGTGGACATTAAGCTTTACTGTTGAATGTAAATCCATTATTATTATTATTATTATTATTTTGTACGTTTGTGAACAAGTGAAGTAGTGTTAATATTTTTAAGCACTGTTAGTTACCGGTTTTTGTGTATGAATTGAAACACAAGTAAAATATCTTTCTTAAATCAAGAAATTAGTAAATCGCAGGATATTATTTCAGAAGTGGGGTGAGGGTGGTCATGAAGTAAAGAACTTTTGCCTCCTGACAGATAAATGCACAAGTGAAGCATGGACTGGAATCTCTAGTGGTCTCAATCCATTGTGTGTTTTAAACAGCATATGGTGTGTGAAGGAGTGATATAAAATGATATAATCATGTTTTTCTCCTCAGAATAAAGCTGGGACCCAAAGCTTACATTCCAAATGTCCCTATATATCAAGGATGGCCCCTGATTTTAATTCATTTCCCCAGTAAATCCTTTCATCTCTTTTACTCTGATTTGCCTTGTGAGGAGATCTGAGGAAGGGGAATGCCTTTTCAAAAACTGGGTTAGAGTTGCCATTACTGAGGCTTTGGCTTCTGCTCCCTAGAGAAGTTGTGTCTGCAATCGTTTACAGACTTCAGTGAAAATAGTCAAGAAAGAAAGAAAGAAAGAAAGAAAGAAAGAAAGAAAGAAAGAAAGAAAGAAAGAAAGAAAGATGTTGCTGAATGTGTTTAGTGTTGCATCTAATCAATAATCACTAAAATCAGATCCACTGCAAAATTCTAGCATCCTATAATTCTAATCAGATCCATAATAAAATTAAACATTTAATTTTTGTAAAAGGAACATCTATTAGCAGAAAAGTGTGTGTGTGGAGACAGCGGTCCTTATATGAAATGTTGGAGGGTGTATCTAAAGGATATGGGAGAAGCTTTGACACAGCCAGTCCTGTGCTACCCAAAAAGTTGCTTTTAAAAACCAGAGGATCTCCAACATGACCTCTTACTAAGTATGAGGAGCTGCAGTTGAAAGAGAAAATGTTAATGTTCTTAAGGAAGTTTCGTGGTATATGTTCATGGGAGATCCAGCTCAGAGTGTCCTGTGAATGTCAACTCTATGATACAAGAGTTCTTAAAAGTTTTAATGCTCACTCTGTATTTGATCAAATCAGATGTCTTTGAATGGATTCAGGATTTATATTATTTTAAGTTTGCTGACGGTTCATTTAGTTCAAAAAGTTGCTGTTTGTAAGAAGTGTTACAGTTTTGATCAGTCAAGTTAATTTGTAATAATCCTTTTGAAGCCACTGGTACTGCTGAATATAGGAGGTTGAAAACAGCAGCCTGCCATATTTACCGGTACTTTTTAGCACGTTTTTGTAAAGCTCAATTGGACATATTTCCAATGTTTAGAATGGGAAAAATAATTTGAAAATAAACAAACAAACCACAATCTATGTTGTAATGCATGGTTGTCATGCTATTGCAATATTACAAAACCCTGATTCATATTTGGGGCAGATTAGGCAACTACAAAAGCATTCTGCTGAGTTTTAGAAATGTGATTACAGTGGTACCTCGGGTTAAGAACTTAATTTGTTCCGGAGGTCTGTACTTAACCTGAAACTGTTCTTAACCTGAAGCACCACTTTAGCTAATGGGGCCTCCTGCTGCCACTGCACCGCCAGAGCACAATTTCTGTTCTCATCCTGAAGCAAGGTTCTTAACCCGAGGTACTATTTCTGGGTTAGCGGAGTCTGTAACCTGAAGCGTATGTAACCTGATGCGTATGTAACCCGAGGTACCACTGTACTTAAATTCATTTTTACAGACCTGATACTTGAGAACCAAGGGTCAAATTAATAGTCAAGTCATTTTCACTGAACGATGTGTCTTCCAAATAACTTAATCAAAGCCTTTTTTTAATATACATTCTTGTTTTAATATTATTATAAATATCTCTTCACTTACTGCTCCATGTGTTGAAAGATTATGGTATGCTTTATAATAGTTTGAAAGAAGGTAACACAAACAAGGAAAGAATCAGATTATTATCATGCCTGACTGATTTCAGTGCAAATATGTACTCTGCATGTGGACCTATCCTTTGGCAAGTCTACTTTGAGAAATATGAACCCTAAGAATGGCCACAGACACATTCCACCGCTTTTCCCTCCCACCCGCCCAACATGAAAAGATACCGGTAATTAAGGAAATAACTAAATATTAAGATGTAAGTGAAATAATTTTCTACACTCTGAAAACCCATTGCCAAAGGATGTGGATAAGATTATGAATATGGCTGAAGTTCAAAGAGCAACTGGGTGGATTCCAGGCCCAGCCTGGCAATATTATTCACCTCATGATCCTAAATGAGAAGGCCTGTGGCCTTCCAGATGTTTTTGGACTACAAGACCCATCATCCCTGGCCTTTGCCTATGCTGGCTGGGGCTGGTGGGAATTGGACTCCAGCAACATTTGGAAGGTCACAGCTTCCCAACTGCTGCTCTAAACCCAATATTTTTTAGAGGTGGGATAAGGTGGTTTGATCTGCTCCTTTGCTCATGTGGTCCACCACACAAAGTCCGCAAAGAGTCACACCATCTGGTTTTGTTACTGTATTCTTATATTTACTTACAAAGCTCTTTGAGAATGGATCCATTTTCACAAGTCACTAAGAAAGCATTAATCTTTCAAACTGAAGGCAGCAAAACTGTTCATATAGATTCTTAATGGACCACTGGGCCGAACAGCCCCATTCATTGTTTGATATTCTGCCAAATGTAAGTCTGAGTTCAGCAACAGCACTCACACAAACTTTGTCTTACAAAGAAAAGAAAAGTACTACTTGGTAACTGAACACACACTACTTTGGGCAAGAAACCTGCAGTAAAAACAGCACATTATATACAGTGCTGTGTTCACAAATGTCTTTCTACAGATTGATTTGCACAAAAGTTACACAAAATAAATCAATATAGAAGCAGCTGCAGCAATCATTTTACGGGAGTATTTCAGAAAGTCACGTGGCTTCCTAATTCGATTACTATTAATGACGTAGTTAGCTATGTATTGACTGACATGGAACTGACATTTCATGTCAAAATAATGAATGCTACAAGATCTCTGCAAGGTTGCCACCCATTTATAGTTTTTATAGACTTTCCATAAAATCATTTGAGGTTAACTGGTAGAAGCCCTATTATGGGAAGATTCTGGTTGTTCTAGAACTTTGAAGGCTAACAAATATATTATGGTTTAAACTTTCTTGGACCTGAGACTACTTCATCAGATGTATAAGGCATGTGGGAAGGGAGAGAGAGAGAGAGAGAGAGAGAGAGAGAGAGCGCGTTCACAATCAGACTGAAGGGTCATAAAATGCAAGCAGAAGAGCAGGTCCCTGACATTTCTATGCAGAGCTCAGATGTGTACATGGTAAGAACAATGACCCTTCAATACAGCCTTCTTACTGCTGCTATGCTAATTCTGCACACATCTTTCACTACAAGTGTCAAATTTATAAAGTAGAGGAGGAAGACAGTTACCACCAATTCTTAACAGAGTTTTGGTACAATCCACCATCACCCAAATGCCACAGAGCAGTGTTGTAGAGCTGCCTCACAGGAATCCATTAATCCCTCCCCTCCAATTTAGAATTTCTGTATAATGTTGTTGTATGCTTCCTTCAATGGGACGCGGGTGGTGCTGTGGTCTAAACCACAGAGCCTAGGGCTTGCCAATCAGAATCCCCGTGACAGGATGAGCTCCCATTGTTCTGTCCCTGCTCCTGCCAACCTAGCAGTTCAAAAGCACACCAGTGCAAGTAGATAAATAGGTACCGCTCCGGCGGGAAGGTAAACGGCGTTTCCGTGCGCTGCTCTGGTTCTCCAGAAACGGCTTAGTCATGCTGGCCACATGACACAGAACCTGTCTGCGGACAAACGCCGGCTCCCTCAGCCTACAGAGCGAGATGAGCGCTGCAACCCCAGAGTCGTCCGCGACTGGACTTAACGGTCAGGGGTCCCTTTACCTTTATGCTTCCTTCATAGTTGTAAGGTGACCAGGGTGGTGTGTGTCTCTTTCTTCTCATTAAACATATCTCCAGCTCTCCACAGCCTCCCTGGCTGCCTTGGCTTCCTGACATGAAAAAGCCCCTTGCGGGGGACTTGCCTCATGACATTTTCCCTTGAACAGTGTGGTGCTGAGGGTGGTAGCACTTTCTGAAATCAGTACATCCACAGACTTTATTTTTAAGAGAAGTGCTTCTTTTTTACCATGAAAATGCTTTTTGCACTGATTTCCTTAAAAGTTAGGATTTCACTTAAAAATGAGTAGCTCATGGTCGACAGGCCTTTGTACACTTGAAGAAAAGCTCAGTCCAAGATGCTATGGGCTTTTTAGGGTGCATCGGGCGAGTCATAAGCCCTGCACCCATCCATGAGAATTTCACTGAAAATTTCTCTTTCCTTTGATAAATTTTAAGTGATGAATGAAAAAACTGCAGGATAAATTTTTGATACAGCACAATTACTGAATGCGATGGAATAGCTCTGCACATTCTTCTGTTGCTGTGGAAAGTGCAAAACTGCACCCAAATATTGCTTGGCACTAGTTCCTAGTAAAGGTGCTTAGGACTGCAGCCTTCGGCACAGGCTTTCTGTTACTTTGAGTGCTGACTGCTGTCGCCTCTGTGATTCCTCCCACGATGCTCTGGTGTGTCTCACCCCAATGTTGCTAGGTCAGGCTGCATGTCCCCCACTGCCCCATCAATCTGTGCTATAATGTCTGGAGTGCAAAGAATAAAACTTGGAGTTACTGCAAGCCACAACCAACACTCTCATAATCTCCTGGTTTGATGTACTGTATGAATTTGGTCAGCTCATCATACTCAATAGTATTATGTATGAATCAAGTGTTCTTTTTCCTAGAAATTCTTCTCTGTCTCAGAACATTACATGACATTCAGCACATGTGTGGTCATCATTCATGGGACCAGGAAGTCAAAGCCAGCTTACTCATGTTGAAACTATGTGAGCAGACCACCTGACCAAGCAGCCTTTTGTTTGGTGAGTATCTTTTCTAACTGGGTCAATTATATTGATTACATCTTGGAAAGTTGTATGTAGCTGTTATATGGTGCAGGCTGGTCCATTAGGGCAGGTAGGGCACTGCCCACTCTAGACCCCCCTAACCCTAAATCTATAGTCCAGTTCCCTCTCGGTTCCTTACATTCATATCCAACACAGTACCTTATATTAAGAGAGACTCTGGAGTTGTTTCTGTCAATCTCCTGGGTTAGCCAACCATCTCTGGACA